TTACAATATTTCAGATTGAACTCGTTACTGCCATTCCATCTACTACGGTTCCGAAGTATCGGGAGTCTCTTTGGGTAAGCAGATTCTCAGAGCTCAGCGTCTACTGAATCAGTATCGTCCTCGGCTTCAAGTAAGGCGTTAGCAGTAGTTCATCTCGACCAAATTCCTCTTCTTCTCTTTTATGTCGGTCCTGCTCAATTTCAGAAATTTTTTTTTATCCCATCAAGGCTGGCTGCCTGGCCCGATGTTGTTCCCAGTGGAGAGATGCTTTATGACGACCGTTACTTTCTTCTACAGAATACTTCCAGGTGGATCCTTACTGAAGTATCGAGGGCCTTCCCTAATGAACCGATCGTTTTTAAGAAATACAGCCACGCGGGTTATGATTCGGAAAGCTGGTTGTTTCGATGTACTCAGCTAGGACCCACGGAGTCTGAGAAGAGGTTAGTCCAGTTTTTTATTGAGCCTTTGACGTATGCTCCTCTCTACCAAACTTACGGTTCCTTATCCAGCCGTAAGCATATCTTCACCTCATTTTTCCTCAAAGTACAACTGTCTAAAAGTTGAAACCGAATTCCAGGTGAGTTAAGTCAGCACGTAACTTGAACATCTTACACCATCTTCCAAAAAGTACACTTCTTAGTAAGTTCGACAGGTCTCTTCTTCCCAGAATTTGATTGACAAGTTTATAAATAACTTATATACTCTGAGTTTCACGTATTGTCCCTGAAAATCGAAAGTATAATAGATTGAGGGGTTACTAATTTCTGAAATACGGTCTGCTCAGATATTAACATCACTTCGAAATTGAGTACTATTTACAACTACAAAATACTCAGTCGTATCATATATTACCACACAGTATCAATATCCCTCTACTCATCACTGAAATCAATGAATTTTTTGGGCGACAGGCTCATCATGAGGTAGTCATAGGAGGCTTCATTTGTAGAGTGATAACATGACCTTCTTTCACATCCAAGAAACATCTGAAACTAGCAAATTACTGTATGAGTTCAATGAAAAGTTAAAGGATAAAGGATAAGGTTTTTGACGCTAATCAATCCCGTCTGAGAGATGCGCCCCGCATTCGACTTGCATTCAGAATCGTAGTGGCGTAATGAGTGCGTATGTGGCCTATACAATGACTTGCGGTGGCCAGCCGATGTACCAAATCAATGTTTTTATCCTCCCAGACGAATCTGGTACTAATTCACCTACCCCGGAGGGATGGAAGGCTTGGTTGGCCTAGGCGGGCATCGGTCAATGATTTGAACCATTGACCGTGCGTGTGATATAATGCGCCACTTACCACTACACCACCTCCACCCTAATGAAATACAGATAAAAAAAGTTCGAGTAAATGTCATCATTATCCGATCAACACCCATCGGAAACACTCCCATATAGCTATCGCCCGCTCGTTAATCGACCACTTTCGATTATTGCCGGTTTTGCGGGAGTATCGATTTGCGGAATGGAATACAGGACGTATGCGGCTTGCATATGAGGGCGTGGCCTGATTCATTGGGGGCGTGGTCTGACACCGATATAGACAGAAAGCTTTGAAACCCTTAGGTTAACAAGCTCTGAAAGATTTCCAGCCATCAGCAGAATCACTCCTGTACTTCGGAAATGCCTACCGAAGCAGGTGATTCCTGTACGGAGACAAAAGCGGGCATTCGGAATCATGGAGTATCGGCCATGAATTCAAATACAAATAGAAACTGCTAGAGAGTTCGTTAGTACTTTTCAGCTGGTTCACTCCATATGTGGAAAAGGATAGGGTGCACGACTTACTTTGTNTGCGGAGGGCAACGAGTCATACTCATAGCCTCCAAAGGCCGTCCGTCTTCATAAGCATCGAGTACCGCCAGCGATTTTTCCTAAATCACTCAATAGAAGATATTTTCGATTGCATTGGCTTGTACTGAAGTTCCTCTCTTACCATAGTCCAGATAAGAAGTTCGAATTCCATTGAGTCCAATGGATATTTCCCCTGTCCATACAGATAGACCTCTGTGGAATACATTGGAGCGCCATATATCAGTACTCGACCTTTCCTAGAAAAAAAAACTTTGTTTGAATCTCAAATTCTGAAAATGATTGTTACAAACTTTCAAATGTCAATGTAAAAAAAATCTTCAACTAGAATGTAAAAGTACAAATTAGTAGATAGAGTTGATGCATACCGTGATGCCTCATCGTGGCTCTCAATGAACTCATGGAGATTAATTGGTTTTGGTAAGTCGATCGGGACCGGCTCATATGGAGCGTTGACTAAGAAGCTCTTCGGTCCAGGGGTATCTGAAGTAGGATAATTCCAATTGATTAGAAAAAACCTTACTTCCTACATCTAATCGTGAACCATGGTCGAAAACAAGTAGCCACCTCAACGAGTCGCAATGAGAGTGAAATTTGCGGCGCAACGGCGCGCTATATCACACGCAGGGACAGGGGTTCAAATCCCGGGTTGATGCCCGCCTAGGCCAGCCAAGCCCTCCATCCCTCCGGGGTCGGTGAATTGGTACCAGATTCGTTTGGGAGGTTAAAAGCACTGACTTGTGCATCGGCTGGCCACCGCAAGTCATTGTATAGGCCACATACGCACTCATTACGCCACTACGATTCTGAATGGAAGTCGAGTGCAGGGGCGCATCCCTCAGACGGGATTGATTAACGCCAAAAACTTTATCCTTTATCCTTTTACCTGTCCTGCACTCTTCTGAAGAGAAGAAGGTTCTGATAAGTGGCGGTAGATCTTTTACGACGTCGGTGAGGTGGAACCATCTTTCAAAGAGACGTGTAGTGGAAGAACCAACAAAGTACCTGAATCATAGCTCTCTTTGAGGTGCTCCGCTATCGGCTACACTTAGCTATCTTCGTATTGGCAGTGCTCTAACTTTCCTAAGTCTCGGTCCCAAATCAGACTTCTCGGTTGTTAATCAATAACACAAAGGAGAACTAATCGGGAGACGGGCAGAGCAACGGTTTTGTGTAATCGATCCGCCACACGCGGTTGTCGTGGACCATTTGCCCCGGTATTATAGTTCGACCTTTCTTCATACAGCTCAATCGCCATGCGATTACTACTTTAGGAATGGTTTTACTAATAGTTCTTTTGTTCCGGTATTTCTTACTTGCTGCTTCATTCTGCTACACATTCCTTCGCGCAAGGCGTCTCTCTCGCCGCGACGCGACAACTTCATTACTAATACTGCACCACACCTTTCCCTATGGGCGTTTGGCCTGTCGGTGAGTTGGGTGACTTTTTTTGAACATACCAGTTCTCTCCATTCCAGAGGCTAAAATTAGAAGGATGGTGATATTTCTCGGAATAGTTGAAAAAAAAAAANCAGTTCTCTCCATTCCAGAGGCTAAAATTAGAAGGATGGTGATATTTCTCGGAATAGTTGAAAAAAAAAAACTGCGGCGGGATGCATTACTGTGGACAGTTTTTTACTCGTTTGCTTCGTCTGAAGCCGGTACAACTTGTAGTGTTGGGCGGAGCTATCCCGTATCCCACACTCCCAGTGGACGGTACATACGCCTTGAGCGCCTTCCTTAAGACTAATGAAGCAGCTCCAATGTGAAAATCTGCGCTGAACTACAGCAAGAGCTGCCTTTTTCTCCAGATTTCGTTACTTCAGTGAAAAATGTGGTAAAAACTTGAACGGGTTTACAAAATAGCCTTTTTCACCTGACACAATCGAATTCGGTGTTATCCCGGGTTCGTTCGACGACAAAACCAATAGTGTTTGGATAACGTTGAGGAGAATGCTCCACTCGAGACGGTAATAGGAACATCTCGCCTGAGTTAAGTTGAATCAAATTTGGGAGAGATGATTCTATCCGTATTCATGGAGTTTTTGAAAAATATCTAGGAAAGAGTTCCAGATATATACGAGTAACGTCATCTTTCTATTTACTTCCATGATGTCAATGCAACTCGTTTACCTTCTCGTATTGTAATGTCACGCGGTAAACCCCTTTCGATGACCTTCAGCAGCATATCGCCAGCCAATTGATAGAAAAACTGTAAAGTAATGTACTGTCATTTGTCCTACGGAATATGAAAGAAATGAGAAGATTTTTACCTCCTCACCCTCTTCCAAATGATAATCTCTACGTGAGTTTGGTCCTCCCACGAAAAATAGCTTGAGATAATCGGAAAACCTGAAATATCATCTACAGAGTAATATTGCTAT